TTTACACTTCTTTTGGCTTTTTCATGTGTCAGACATTCTGTATAATTACATTTTATTCATTTTCGTCAGTGTTTGTTTCTTCCGNTTCCGAACGTTGTTCGTCACTCCACAAATTGCGGCGAATCCTTCCTCTTGTTGGCTGTCGTACACCTCGTACTCTATGCCGTAATCTTTCCTTGGCTGTTCGAAGANCCTCCTTCATTTGTGCTTGAAATTCAGAGCGTGTTGGTTTTTGAAAATGACAATTATTGCACACACCATCTAAAACAGAAATATAATATTAAAACAGTAGTAAGTTATATTAAAACATATTATAATAGAAACAAGCATATAAAAGTTAAAAAACTGTGATAAATATTTATGTCTGCAGCTTTATAAATATTTATTAAATTTAACAATATATGATAATAATGTAATATTTACTAAAGAAATCGGACAATTGTCACTCATAGAGCTCATTTACAACTTTTCATGTGTAAAATAAAATTTATTTGTGCTTTAAATGGAAAACAAGTTTTGTAAGTTGTACGGTTTTGAAATATTTGTATTATCTTTTTTTGTNTTATTTTTTACACAATGTAAAATAATGAGTATTATTTAATTTCGATTTTTAAAGTTATATGCTCGTATAGAATGACACAATCATAAACTTTGCTTCACATAGAAAACAGGAACAAAATTCATATTACACAAAAATGAAAATTTAAGTGAAATCTAATATAATTATAGATATTACTATGCATAAATATGCGATATTAAAAATAAACTACATTTTTCTGAAAAATTNAAAATTTATTTAAAATTATGTAATTATGACATATGATTAACCCTAGTTATTTATCCAGGCTTGTCATAAAATAAAATCCAACAGTGACGCTTTTAACTTTCAGACTTGTAATTACGCATTACAATATGTAATATTGTTGAGATTTATCAAAATATATGTACAATATACAATGTACAATACATTGTAAAAATTTATCAATATACATACCATAGATTGCCATAACAAGACGAGTGTTATATAAAGGTCTTTGTCCTCCTTTGCGACCCCACCAAGTGAATGATGGTGTCAAAGAGTCTTTCAGTCCTTCTTTGAAACACAGATTGATAGCTTCTCTCAGATTAAAACCACCCATATAGCGGAAATAATTTACCTAAGACAANTATTAAAAATTTAAAATACATGTGCGAAAAAATTTACATTACAAATAGCATACTCACGACGCGTTGAAGTAATCATTGTCGTCGATATTTTGAAAAGCATCCATTTCTGTTAAAGATGAAATTGGGGGGATATCTGGTTTTCGTGATCCACGTTGTCTTGTACACATTTTAATATATTTTCCAATAGCGTATTCATTCTTCTATAAAAGCGTGTAAATAAAAACATTAATATTATGGAAATCGTCTATCAATAAATCTGAGACTTACTTCATCTCTGTCTCCAAACGATCTATACGTTCGTGTATTCTGCAACAAAATTAAGTAATATTTAGTAAAAAGTAATATTTGNATTGCTTTGATGAATATATTTCTATAAGTATATTTATTATCAATATGTAAAAGTTTTTATTAAGTACATACGTGAACTTACCGATTGTCTGTCTTTTCTGATTGCGGTGGAATGTTCTCTCGACTTTTCAAAAGAGTAAGCAGTTTTGTTTCTTGAGCTGGGCGATACAAATTGTTCTTGGTAGATCTTGCTTCCGAGATACTCTGAAACTCAGTACTTGTATTATTAATATTATATGTTGCTCTTTCATTGGTTACTTGCGGTGTGTAATTATGTATAACAGACGCATGCAATAGATTAGTACTATCAGTGTTAGTAGATGTGTTAGTGTATGTTTGAAAGTCAGTTTGTGGGTGAATAGTTGTATATGGTTGAATATTTGTNTAAGTCTGAAAATTTGTATGTGGTTCACTGTTTGTGTGCGGTTGTATATTTGTNTATGACTGTATATTTGTATATGTATTTGTGTCTGTATCCGAAAGTGTTGTATGAGTGTTTGTACATGGTAATACATGTTCCTGTGTATATTAACGGAATAATGTATTAGTATTATTAGTATTNTTATTTGAAGGAATAAAATTTTCATAATTATTTGAATCGTTCTCCAGGGTGTTTCTGATGTCGTTAACGTCATCTTGGATATCTCCAATAGGTGCTGTTTTTTTCCGTGTTGAAGCCTCATCCGATGAAGTAGTCATATAGCGGGACGGCTTTGCAATTATTCGTTTTGGTCGGTCTATCTCTACCTGTATATAAAGTTATATATATGTTTAAATGTATACCTAATGCAATAAATTTATATAATACAAAACACAAAAAGTTTATACAATACTATGCACAAAACATAATCGATAAATAACAATATTTTTGACTACATGCATTAACNAATAAAATAAAAATGATTAAATTAAATGATTAATTTTTTTATAAACAATTTTTTGTTAAAGTTAGTTTACCTTTATATTTTGTTATAATTACTATTATTTTTATAATTTATTATTACTTTTATAATTTTTTCTTTGCAGATAATGTTATAATTCAATAAAGTATTCTCCATTATTATGAAAAAA